CGACATCCAGCACGTTTTAGTGGTTTCTCTGCTCCAACACACTAGATTCAGTGGTTGAATCACCTGTGCAGCAGCTCATCAGGCTCTGCAGAAGCCTGTTAATCACCTGCTGATTGAAACCAGGTGTTGAAACAGAGTTAAAAGTAAAACGTGGTCGATACCGGCCCTCCAGGCCCGGGGTGTTTAATACTCACATTTCGCCAAAACACCTGTAACCCCATCACCTTTGAACATTAAACCCTGGCAGTAAATACAGCAAGTGATTCTCCTTCTCTTAAGGCAGTGGGTCTCAACCTTTTATCAGGACGACCCCCTTTCCTGTGTCCAAAACAAGCCAGGGCCCCATCCCAATCTCTGACTCCACATCGCGTCGCGTTAAGCTCTCCTCTGATGCAGCAGGCGTGCCCGTGCTGTTCCAAGAGCTTCTGGGCCTTTTTGCTCTGAGTATGGTTTGCAAGGCATTCAGTCCTACCAGAGACCACCGCAGATGTACTGATTAAACGAGTTTCCCACACCTTCAAAACTGCTAAACTACATACAGCAAATCTGACCTTGCATTATTAGACCAAAGGAGACGAGATAATCAACCATCTTTATCCAGACTGGGTTTAAAAAACACAAAATCACTTTACCTACAGTAATTAGTGCCTATTTCAACTAATCTGCACTTTAAACACCAAATGTGATTATGAATCCCTAAAAACTCCCGTCTACTTTCAGAAATGGTCAGTAGTTCTGAAAAGTAATTTGCAAGAAAATAAATCTGCTTAGACACGCAGAAAGGCAAAGCCCTCTTAGTGTAATTAGAACACTCACGCTGCTTAGGGCTTATTATATTTATTGTACATTTACTCAGAGGCTTTTAAATATTTATTTTATCCAGTATAAATTTTAATTAGAGCTTCAAACACTTTAGCTGTGTTCGGTCCAAGCAGAGCTTTCCTTTGATCACACGTCACTCTGTCGTATTTTTCCTCTCCTTGAATTCCTCCCCGTGGGCATCTTGTTTCTAATTGGCACAGCGTCGTGTGTCTTGTCTGATGTCAGCAGGTCCAGCTCTCTGTCTGTCAGCGCAGATGAAAGAACCGGAGTGGCACGTGTGTGCTCCAGGGTGCTGGGTGCTTCGTTCTAGGGGAGCGTTGGGGGTTTTATCATACTGCTGCTTTCAAATGTAGCGCCAAGAAACAAAGTATTTCTTTACATGACCTGCAGGGTTACACCAGGCATCCACTGGAACATGAAACAGTTTTTTCCTGATACCAGAGGGCTCTGAGGTATTTCTGTTTTGTCTGTTAAAGGAGAGCAGGGCTGTGGTGTTTATAGAGCTGTCTGACCCCTCCTTCTCCTTCATCCCTCCCTTGGCTCTCTCTCTCTCTCTGGCTGTGCTGTGTGTTAATGTAGTGAAGTGGCACATCGGTCAATGAGCTTGTATTAACACCTGACTCCCAGCCCTGGCTACTCGTCCACCCCCCCGAAACGACATATTCTAGGATCAATACCGACGTTCTCGAAGGCAGAGGGTGAAACAGACCACCTTTTACTTACTCTTGTATGTTTTTGCCTTCTCCTTTATTGTGTTGCTAAGTGCTACCAAACAGGACGTCCAGACTAGAATCCGTTTGTTTATTTGTCTGTGAAGATGTTTACCTTTCCTGTAGAGTAAATGAGCCTCTCCCAGTAAAGTTACCAGCATGCCGTTTAAAACCATCACACCTAAACAGGTGATCAACAACATTATTTGGGCTCTGAGATACTAAAGATACAGATTATCTTCGACGGGCGTTTTTACACACCCAGACAGGACAGATCACCGACCAGAATCATGTTTATGCAAAACTGCCTGCAGGCTTCCGATAACATTATTCCTACTGGAGCTGATGATGCTTGAATGTATTAAAAACAAATTAGCTTCAAATGTTTTTAATTCCTTTTAACGGTGTTTTAACATAGTGTAGCTATAAAGATATTGTGGAGATTTAAAAGATAAAACAGTTCATGAAGTGGTTCTCTTGCATCTGTCTAAAAACCTCCAATAATGACATGTTTCAGAACAAAAGCAACTGTTGGACCATCCAGTTGTCGGTCTCGCCGAACCCCGCGTGTCTCGTGTATTTAGCACCAGAACAACGCTGGTGTGAGAGCTTCTCCGCTCAGTAGTATCAGAGGAGGAGAAACAGCCGGCTGCTACCACTTCAACTTCAGGAGGAACTACCAGAGTCCCACAAAGAAAAACATCGTTTAAAATCACCAACAACAAAAGAGGTTTGGAACTAGGAAACGGCGACTGGTGGGTTTACGGCTCCGGCAGAAGCAAGGTTTGACCTTGGCAGAGCTCCTTTTGCTGGTTAAAGGGATACCAGGCAGTTTTGCTTGCCTTTGGTGGCACAGGAGTTAAGCGCTCGTCCCATAATCGGAAGGTTGCAGGTTCGAGCCCCGCCCAGTCTGTTGCTGTTGTGTCCTTGGGCAAGACACTTAACCCCCGTTGCCTGCTGGTGGTGGCCGGAGGGACCGATGGCGCCCCAGGGCGGCTGTGGCCAGGGGTGCATCGGCCCATCTGGCATTATGGCACTGTCCCAGTGGGCCGCTTAGCCAAGTGGGCCACCTAGCCGGTCACTAACCAACACCCCTCCCACCCACTCTCACATTTGGCGGAATACAGACGAATTGCGAGCAGCAACCCCCCCCCCCCCCCCCCCCCCCCCCCGTTCTCACATTCATAAAGATGCCAGGGCCAAATTTTGGTCCCAGTCCACCCCTGGCTGTGGCTTCATCGTAGCTCATCCCCACCAGCGTGTGAATGTGTGTCCGTTAATCTCCTCACTGTGCGTTCGTCTTTTAACACCTTAATCTAACAGTCGAAACGTCTACAGCAGTGATTCATCACTAAAGTAAAGAAATCAGCTGTGTTCCTGATCTAAAACATGCAGGAAACACACTGAAGCCAGACATCAGCACCTGGTAGGTCCGCTCAATTTTTTCAAAGTCCCAACAGTGCGGACCGGCAACTGTGAAGTTGCAAGTGTGATATTCTGGCCACAGGGGCAAAAGGGACTGTGTGGCCTTTCATTAACCCTGTAAAGAGTCATTTTAGCACATACTGGCTCAAGAAAATGATTGAAAAACATGAAAACGTTGCAAAGTATCCCTTTAAACACAAGAAGTCAGCAGAAAGTGGATCTGTGTCTGGTGTAAAACCAGCTCTGTGTTCATGGACGTGGTTTTGACTTCAGAAGTGGGGGGGACACAACCGGCATGAGGACCGGGATGGAGGGAGGTCTTTACGCCAACTGCACACTCGAAGCAAAAACAGCGCGGAACAGTTTACTCGTGACAGTCACAGCATTCAAGTGCACACAGGAGAGTCTCAGCAGCGAAGCGACGTCTCTGCCGTGCTCCTCGCTCGACTCGCGAGATCACAAAATCCCTCGAGACTTTTGCTTCCGGTGTGCAGCACGGGTTACAGTAAGTATACAAAAACGTGTAAAAGTACAGCCTAGAGGCTCTTTTGTGCAATGTCAGGATTACAAAACTGTAAAGTAAGCAGGTGGCAGGAACGGCCAATCACACGTTAGCAAGTATCAGCAGAGCCAATAGATGAGCGAATGGGAAACAGGCTTCAACACAGCGGTTGTTTTGTGCTTGGTCCTAGTGCTCCACCGGTGTCTGTTAACATAGTGTAATGTTGTTTTGGACGGTAAAACGTGTAGGGGACAAATGGAGAAATGTCGAACATCTGCAAAAGTCCATGCATCTGTACTCAGCTCTTGGTTTGGGCCCCTTTTGCTTTTACTGAAATAAATGAATTTAATACGATAGTTAGCTGTTTTGTGTTTTACCTGGAACTGATGGAACCATGAATTATACCCTACCACAAAACCATGAAGGAGAATGTTTGACCTTTGACCTTAGACAGGGTGTCCATGTTGGAAAATCCTCAAATGTGGCTGAATTCCAACAATAATGTAAACAAGAGCAGAAGGAAATCCTCCATAGAGAGAATCGTGATTTCTGTTACGGCCAGTCTATTCTTAAGTGTCTGTGCTGCTGTAACAAGTAAACAACAACAACAACAACAATACAGTCTGTTCTATGTGTGATGTCACTTTGTCACAAGGAACCAGGTTGGCTCTTCCCGTCATAAATCTAATCAGTACCTATAAACTCCATGTTGTGTTGACCCAGATGACCTTTGTCTGACATTTAGTATTTAAGTATTTAGTTGTAACAAAAGAGCAAAGCAGACTAATTCTGTTGGGGAGGAAACTGTTTTATCACTGTTCCATAGTTGAGTCTCTGTGCATTAGCCTCCACTGTTACGCACACACACACACACACACACACACACACACACACACACACACACACACACACACACACACACACACACACACACACACACACACACACACACACACACACACACACACACACACACACCACCCTTTCAGTTTTGCACTTAGCATCAGACGCGTCTAATGCTGGATAGTGCTAGAGTGCATTTAGGAATTATCAGCCCTGGATCAGCTTCTGACTCAATACTCTCTGCCTCTGTGTGTGTGTGCGTGCGTGCGTGTGTGTAACTGTGATTCAACGCATCCCTCTTCCACCCTTCCTTTTCCTGTTCTCTCTCTCTTCCTCTCACTCATTCTCTGACTCTTTGTCTTTCTCTCTCTCTCTTTCTTCCTCTTTCTCTCCCCCTCCCTCCCTCCCCCCTTTCCCTCCCTCCCTCCCCCCCTTTCCCTCCCTCTCATCACTCTCTCCTTCCCTTTCGCTCTCTCTCTCTCTCCCCCCCTCTCTCTCTCTCTCTCTCCCCCCCTCTCTCTCTCTCCCCCTTTCCCTACCTCCCCCCCCCCTTCCCTCCCTCCCTCCCCCCCTTTCCCTCCCTCTCATCACTCTCTCCTTCCCTTTCGCTCTCTCTCTCTCTCTCTCTCTCTCTCTCTCTCTCTCTCTCTCTCTCTCTCTCTCTCTCTCTCCCTCTCTCTCTCCCCCTCCCTCCCTAGGCTCTCTCCATGACCGAGGTGAACGGGCCGGGTCCCCAGCTGGCCGAGCCCCAGATTGCCATGTTCTGTGGCCGTCAGCTCCTGCACATGAACATCCAGACTGGGCAGTGGGAGCCGGACCCTCAGGGCCTCCAGGGCTGCTTCAAGGACCCCAACGAGATCCTGTCCTACTGTCAGGAGGTGGGAATCTGCTTTGGTGTAAACACAAACATCTCTGCTGAGGAACGGCTCGGATCAATATCACTAACAGCATCACTATCTGATCAAAGTGCTGCTTGACTAAATGAATAAAGAACTTATTTAGATAATAAAGAAATCAATCTATTTAATTTGTCTAACACCTTCCCCGTAACATCTATATATGTAACTATATATAGAGAAGAGATGGCAGCCTTGGAATATTACTATATTTCAGTTGTGCCGTCATCCACCTTTCCTCCTCTTACTGTGTGTGTGTGTTATCTGTAGTACACACACATGCTCCTCCCTCAAGAATAATAAACCAAAGTGCAGTAGCAAAGGTCAACAAGCGCCATCTGGAGGCCAAAACATGCATGTGCTACAACTAGAAGCTGCCATGCGGCTCAAAGGCCTCTGATGGGATTAACGGACGCATTATGTATCTGCAGTGGCTTTTAACCAAACTCTTCCTTCTATTTGTGCAGATAGCATGTAAGTGTGCATCTGGACCGGCTTAGTCGCATATGGATTGTGATTAAATCTCAAAATGAGCTTCAGATAACCATCATTATGAATAAAAATGTGTGTGAAATGGAAATAGTGAAAGCATTATTAAATGATGCCTTCAGTGTGGTCCACAGCTTCAACTAAACGCCCCACATTGCCTCAGATATTTAGAAACTATGCTGCATGCTGTTCCCTCTGTTGGTTTTCCCTCTGTTCCTCCCAACCGAACCGTGTACCTCCTCTGTGAAACTTTTCTTCCCTTTCTAATTCTCCTCCTCCGTCCACATGTGTGTCTCTGTTCCTTCTCTGCATGCTCCCTCACGTCCAGATGTACCCAGCTCTTTCAATCTCGCACATAGAAGAGTCCAAAAGACCCGTCACCATCCAGTCCTGGTGTAAGAAAGGATGGGGCCGCTGTGAGACGCACCCCTTCATCGTCCTGCCCTACCGCTGTCTGGGTAAGAGCGTCGAGTCGTGGTTACGACAGCACAGTCTGACATCTAGGTGGAAACGTTAGATAATTTATTTGATCTGGGGCATGGCTCCATTGCTTATCTGTCCAGAGTGTCTGTTCTTTACATTCGTGATTACGCACACGGATCTTGACACATTTCCATGTACTGATCCGATAGAAATGTACCATGTCACCAAATGGGAAGTGCCAAGCTAAGGATGAAAACGAATGTCTCTTGAGGACTCGAGGCCTTTTTGGCTGGTGGCCACGAGGGGTGGCTTCACATTGTCTTCTTTCAACCATTTTCTATGCTTTTTCTGTAGAAACCAACTTAAAACCAACCAACTGAACGATGGTCAGTTTTGGAAATGTATCAGGAACTGAGTGTTACTGGTCTCCCTCCCCTGGAAGTAAAGAACCAAATGAAGTTCTGCTAGCTGGAGAGGATCCAGACAGGAAAGGAGCTTTCCACAGACCTTAATAACAAACGGTGTGGAAACTCTTGGCCTGCCGGAGTTCAGCACATTTTAGATGATTTGCTTCCTACAATAATTCATACCATAGTTCTTTTTCCACATCTTTCTAGCCTGCTTTTGTTTCAGGTTATAATTAAAGGCAAGGCTGTTCAGGCCGCAACATATAGAAGAGATGTTTTGTCCACTTTGGCCACTAGGGGGCAAAATAAACACACAATGATTAGTTAGGAATTGTGGTTCTGCTGTGACGTTTGGTGTTTCATCATCATCAGCCTCCACAAGCAGCGTGCAATAAGAACATAACTCACACAAACAGTAGACTTCGCGTCTGATCGTCCCTGATTAGCATCTTAAACGTTATCCTCTCGTAGTTTTTGCTAAACAGCTTTTTCTGTTTGGAGGACCTGCGTTTTCCACTCTGTCATCCTTATTACCACACCACTGCAGCATTCCACTGAGTATTCACTTACAAAGTGTGTTCATGATCCCCGTTCAGACGCAGAAGACTCATGCACTAACCTCGCCTCTTCTGTAATCCCTCTGTAGAGGGAGAGTATGTGAGCGAGGCCCTGCTGGTGCCCGACAGATGCCGATTCCTCCATGATGCGCAGATGGACGCTTGTGAGAGTTACGTCTACTGGCATAACATTGCAAAGAAGGTCAGATGAACTACAGTTTTACTTTCTTTTTAATAAGAAGGGTCGGTGCAGTTGAGCTTGATCATTTCAGCAGCGTTAGTATCTATTTTTCTTGTGAGGCTTAAAGAAATTCACCTCCAAAAGTTCCAAAAGCAGATAAGAAGCACGTTAAAATGTTTTGTTCCCAGAAAACTACATTTTCTGCAACGTTAACGAGAGGCTAGCTTCTTTTTTCTCCTCCAAAAGATCCTAAATCTGATTTCCTGTCTTGTGTCAGGAATGCACCGCAGAAAATCTGGAGCTGCACAGCTACGGGATGCTGCTGCCATGTGGGGACCATTTCAGAGGTGTTGAATACGTTTGCTGTCCAGGCAGAGGTGGCTCAAACGGTAAAGGAGAGATGGAGGAGAGAGACAAACCCGACATGACACAGACGCTCACATCCCAGACGAGTGGAAAGATCACCTCAGCGTAAGACGGCATTCTCAGATCTTATCGTTACAGGATGCAGATTGTCTTTAAGCCATGACCAAGTGATGAGAATCTATTTTCTTCACAGCACCAAAGTGATTGCTCCTACTCCGAGTCCCTCTCCTGACCCAGATATGGACGAGGCTGATGTGGAAGAGGAGGAGGATGAAGTGATGGAAGAAGAGGAGGATGAGGAGGAGGATGATGTTGATGAAGAGGAGGCAGAAGATGAGGAAGAAGAGGAGGAAGTGGCTGTTAAAGATCCAGAGGAGTACGAATACCCTTTTGACTCCGGTCCGTACCAGACAGCGGACCTGGACTCCATTAACTACGAGAAAAACCACAAACCCACCTCGTCCTCACCTCTCCTCATGGTAGAGAGCTGTGAGTGCCTCACTTTTTCTGCTCCTCCCTGATGTTTGTAAAATATATGAAGCAAGTAGTTAGCAGAAGGGTATACCGCATGAGATTACGAGATTATTAGTCTTCCACATGAACACAGCGTTGGAAAAAGGAAAGACCAAATCTGTCCAGATTAGAACCTTTCAGGAAACGATAGTTTCATCTTTACAGTGTTCACACACACACACACACACACACACCAGAGACAAAGAAAAAAACAAAATGGAAAAGTTGTGAGTGAAAAGAGAAAAGGTACCAGCTGATCATTATCACCTCTATTAAAGCAGGTGTGGAGTGTACAGGTGTGTGTTGACACAACACCAATGAAGAAAAACATTATGGACCACCTGTGTGTCCCATAAATCTGCAAAGGAAATGTGGATGTCTCAACAAGTTCACTTCCACCTCAGACTCTTTACCCCTCAGTTACAGGTTAAAGGCTGCTTATCTCTTCAAAAACAGGTCGTGTGACTTAGGTTTGTAAAGTTTCTCCTGAATCAACCACAGTACAGTGAAGACCAAAGTGGAGATGTTTACCCATAATGCACGGCTCCATGGCTGGCCCAAACTAAACCACATAAACAGCTGATACCAGCTGTCAGCACGGTGGCGGTGGGATGATGGTCTGGGGAATTTGTCGTCAGCCACGAACTCTGTGAACCAGGGTATTCTGGAGACAAACCTGAGTCCTTCTGTCGGACCAAACTGGGTCATAAACTGCAAAAACAATCCAAACAGAGCAGCGAATCTATAACCGGACGGCTGAAAAAGAAACTGCTGTGGCAATGATCCAACCTCAACAGACCCAAGCTGCGTAGAAACACGTTTCAAACCTCAATGAACTGAAGCAGCATTATCAGGAAGAGTCGGCCAGGATCCCTAACGTGAGACGGCTAAAGTCAGACAGGAAACATCACATTATTGCTGCTAAAGACGGTCCGACAAGCTGCTGAATGGTGCGGCAGGACTTTTTTTACACACCGCTTTTCTGTTTTTGCTCTGTTAGTCAATTTTAACCCAACTTTTCTCTGTTGTGTGTTTTTAACTGTATTTCTAGAACTTGCTACATAAAACCTTAAACTTGGAAGGACTTTGGTGTTACCGTCGCTGAACACGCAGCATGTGTGCACAAGTACATCTGGGGCTTCTGTACAAACCTTTTCCTAAACCAATGTCGGTGTGAACGAGTTCAGGTCAATCTGGTGCTTAACATGGCCACGACGGAGTCGGTGCTGACTGAACCACACTACAATAAAGACTACATCAGAGCAAGTTCAATCGTCTTTAAAGCTGCTTCAATAAAACTGAAAGCAATTGATCGATCAAAGGCAAACGTTCATTTAAGAGTGGTTCATTTATCTTTGGTTTGCAGTGTTGGGAGCATCGAGGTACAAAAGTAATTAACTACTGTAATGCATTGCTTTTTGCTGTAATGTGGTAATGTAAGGCATTACAGGGAAAGAAAATGGTAATATTTACCCAGTACAGTTGTCAGTAACGCGGTAATTACAACGCATTTTTAAACCCAGAATCAAGATGTGGGTTTCCTAAAAATTCAAATTGCGGGAAGCCTGAAAAAAGATCCAATATCTACATATATGACGTCATTTATGGACTCAGCTTTGCGGGCATTCTATGAGCAGAGAGGACACAGCGGTAACGGCTGAAATACTCCAGCTGCGTCCTGCGTGCGGCCGCTGTACAAATCGCTCCACCAAAACAAAGTAATTCGTTTGCGATCGTTTATATCCGCCCATATTCTCTGGTACTTCATATACTTTTCAGCTGAGTTCATAATCTGTGCCCCGGTGATTTCAACTCATTGCTGCTGGAGCGCAGCACAAGTTAAAATATATATTATTTTTTGCGTTCGGTAGATCCCTTTGGCTGATTAGTTAGAAAGTAGGAAATCTAGTTTACAGTTTTTCTGGAAGACGGAGAAAACATGCAGCATGCAGGAAGGTTAGAGAGAGAAAGGGCCGGAAATTATACAAATAAACTCAAGAAAACAAGAAAAAAAGTAGGTAGATTTATCCCTAATACACATTTTTACCAGTGAAAAGCAATAATATATAAGCATTTAATATTTATACATGTGATAGAATCAGATCACCCCAGAAGTCAGTCCCACATCCAGGGCCGTATCAAGGCATTTGGGGACCAAGGCAAATATAGTCTTGGAGCCCCCACCACCTCACTTCCTGTTCAGTTAATAGAAGATGGCAGCGTGCTGAGAGTACAGATTGTTGTTGCTTTTATTTAATAAACAATCATTTTAAAGCACTGTTATTATATCTGACTGTTTCTAACAGCAATCCTAGCTCAGACACCACATCACCTTCCACATATATGTCACGAGCTCACTGAGCGTCACATTACCAGATTCATATTGAAGTTGTTTTGGTGAAAGTAACTTAAAGTAATGCAAAAGTGGTTTTAAAATCAGTAATATTGTAATGTAACGAATAACTTTAAAATGAGGGTAACAAGTAATAAATAATGCATTACAGTTTTGAAGTAACTTGCCCAACACTGATGGTTTGTTCAACTTCATAGTGAAAGGACTCCAATCAGAAAGACACGTTTTCTGTTTGTTAGTGTTTCTAATTTACTGCAGACCAAATCCAGACCATGAAAACCATTAAAACATTGTTTTCCAGCTGTGATGCCGTCCACTTAATCACAAGATCATTGCCGTCTGGCTTGTGCAGCCTGTATGCATCAGTGACGACTCCGATTCTGTCTGTTTTCCATCCAGTGACCACACTTCAGCCCACTGATGGCGTGGATGTTTATTTTGAGAATCCGGTAGATGACACAGAACACGCCAACTTCCTTCGCGCCAAAACGGACCTGGAAGAGCGCAGGATGAAGCGCATCAATGAGGTGAATTTCACAGGGCTGACAACAGGTCAACAGCCCATCTGCTGGTTGCACTTCTTATGGGTGATTTATGAACGTGGGTTGAGAGCCGATCCGAAAGGCAGCTGATCTGAACATTATTTATCTGCTTTAGTGGAGCAAAAATAAGCGGGAATATCAGACATGCCACAAAAAAGGCGGGTTTGGTTTTGGAGCGAGACATACCCTTTTCTAGTTTCGTTGTATCATAATCGATGTATCCTGTAGGGTTAGAGTAGAACACATGCAGGCTGTAAGCATGTTTATTTCTGCGGAGAAGTTGGCGTCTTTAAGATGGGAGTCAGTGGGAATTAGCTCATTTCTGGTGCCAGCCCCTAGTGGATGAGGGGGTAAATGCAGTTTTTGTCACTTCCTGGTTGGCATCATGGGCCAATCCCATTACTCGCACGATGTTTTCTGTGAAGTACGCTTGGAGGATGTGTGCAGTAAAGTTTTGAGTGCGTGGTACACGAGCGGGCAAATAACAGCCGAATTGGGACATTGCGTCATCGACTGCACCGCATGCCGGGACGCTAGTCGCTGTGCAGCTCTTCTTTTAAAACCTTTATTAATGACTTTGAAACAAACAACCCAAAAATTATTAGAAATAAATTTACATTCTAATTTAAATTCATCGTCCTAAAAGGAACCACTTTCATTTGAAAATACATTTGTTCAGAAAAGGCACTTGAGCCTTTTTTCCCGCAGCAATGCATTGTGGACAATTAATGCAGACGTAGGCGAAGTGCGGATCAAGCGTGCAAAAGGGGCCTGATCAACTTCCGCACTTGAGAATGGGGACACCCTACGCACTCGCACCGCTGGTCGGGAGTGTGGAAGTGTGAGTATTGGAATTGGGCCAATGTCTGGGAGCCTGGGGTTCCCCCTTGGTTGTGAGTGAATGTTTACGGATTAGTGAAAGATGCAGCTGCAGCTTCTGTCCCAGCAGTTTGTTGGGGCCACTTCAATAAACTGCTGTTGAGAGAAAAATGAGCTTTTCATTGAGTCTGGTGCTTTCATTGCTGCACAAATGGCTTACCCTGTGTTTGGAAGTGTCTCTAAAGCTCCCAGGTGAATAAAACAACAGTGCAGCAACAGAGACGATCCCTAAAAACCTCGGTAGTTTTCAGAAAGTTTCTTTCACAAGTGCAGGGAAGAGACTTGCGTTTTTCTCCAACACTGCATCAGTCCAAGCAGTAGCTGACAGTTGAACATTGTTGTGTGTGTCGGTGCAATCGGTGTGCCAGGAAATTGTACACTGACAAAGGTTCCACCTTGCTTTACTGATAATTCATTTCTCCGTCTGTCAGATCATGAAGGAATGGGCTGAGGCTGACAACCAGTCAAAGGATCTGCCAAAGTCTGAGCGCCAAGCCCTGAATGAGGTAAACAAATACTTTCAAGTACTTGAAAGGCGTTATTCAACATTTTCTGAGATCTGACAGTATTAAATGTTTTATAAATAGACATTTTGATTGTTTAGCTGCATCTAAACCAAACGATTTGTCCAAACCAGCATTTCCAGTCTGTGCTGCAAACACTGGAGGAGCAGGTCGCCAGGGAAAGGCAGAGGCTTGTGGAGACTCATCTGGCCAGAGTGGAGGCCATTCTCAACAACAACCGCCGCCTGGCTCTGGAGAACTACCTGACTGCAGTGCAATCCGATCCCCCCCAGGTAAGTCTATCCCAGAGAGCGGACAAGGGCGGAAACCCGGGAGGAATACAACCCTGGTGATAATGGCACAAATCTGCTTCCCGCTGCATGTTTGTGACAGCTGATGGGCTTTGTCTTGTGTCTCCCAGCCTGATCGCGTGCTGCAGGCACTGAAGCGCTACATGGCTGCTGAGCAGAAGGACCGCAGACACACACTGAGGCACTACCAACACATCGTGGCGGTCGACCCGCAGAAAGCTGAGCAGATGAAATTCCAGGTGAGAGCATTTTGAGATGTGCTGATGCTTTCTGCTGACAGAGGAAACTCAGAACATTGTATGCTGGAGAGTTACTGCAGATGAATTAATAATTACCTTCAGAAATCCAGCTTCCAAACTTCTTCCCAGTTAAAATAAGATCAAAGCCGGCCTCTGCTGACTCTGAAAGCAGCTGAAAGAGTGATTCTTCTTCCCCAACCGCCTGGTTTGCAGGTGTACACACACCTCCATGTAATCGAGGAGAGGATGAACCAAAGTCTGGCTCTGCTGTTCAAAGATCCCACGTTAGCTGAGGAACTGCACGCTGACATCCGTGAGCTGAACCACACTTTTGTGGTCGCAAAATGCTGCAATAACAGTTTCCTTATTTATTGATAATATTGGTATATTCTACATCATTTTCATGCATTCCTGTAGAGGAACTAGTGAAGGCGGAACGAGGGGACATCAGCGAGCTCATGACCACCTCCTTCTCTGAAACTCGCACCACCGAGGAGCTGCTGCCAGCTGAGAGCGAGGAAGAGAAGGATGACGAGGAGGAGGAGGAGAGGGCCTTCCAGAACCGACCATATCCTCCACGTATCGGTACTAATTCAACTCATGCCACCACTTTCATCCTTCAGTGTTTTTATTTTATCTTTCTGGTAAAAACCTATTTTCCATGCTCTCCCCACAGACCTGCAGCCTAATAAAAAAGGTGAGTTTACGTTCAGATTCATCAGAACAAGGAGTTTCTACTGCACTTGTCCTCACAGCTGTTATTGAATCGGTCTTCTTGTCTGCAGAGGATGAATATGATTATAACACATCTGAGAGAAGCCCTACTTATGAATATGAAGAAAAGGTAAATTGCGGATATCTTTTATTTGAAAGTTTTTACTCACTTTGAGTTGAAGCTCTGGTGTGATTATATGCACTCGTTGTACGTTCTATTTCCAGCGCTTCTATAATTTGCTTACAAGTTTCCTGTTTTTTAGATCAACACTTCTGCAGAACTCAAGCAGGCTGTCAAGCCTAATGAGATCGCGAGGGATGAACTTGTACGAACATCTTATTTATATAAAACTCTTACATGGAACTATAGTAGTGTCAAATCATTTCTTCTGCTTTACTGTGAAAATGGACATTTTTCTCTCTTTGTTAAGCAACCTGATGCCTTGGAGACGTTTAATCGTGGAGCCATGGTGGGGTTGCTGGTGGTGGCTGTTGCCATCGCCATGGTGATGGTCATCAGTCTGCTGCTGGTGCGCAGAAAGCCGTATGGCACCATCAGCCACGGCATCGTCGAGGTACGACCCCAGCCGGGTTCAAATTAAAGGCTGGTTTATTTTTGTTAGTTTTGTTTTATTCCACTTTTTATTTTCTCCATTTGTCCACAAGGTGGATGCAAGTTTCATTGTTCTCAAGATTATATCTCTTTCTTGTTGTTTTTGTGCATCTTTACCAAAGTACCTTTTGAAAAGACTTTGAGCACACGTGATATTTAGTTTTAATTCCATCTGTGTAAAAATTCACCAATGATGGGAAAGATCTTTTCAAAGAATGCGAGGCTTTGGCTAAATCTTTTAGCAGGAAGTTACAAAGTCAAACTATTGATTGTCAGTAGCATCCTTTTGATATTCCTACCAGCACCTGGTTAGCATACAGTCGTTTCATAGGACCATAAAATACCTGCTGGCAACAATAAGAATTTAAAAATGTTTAAATGAAAACTGTGAAAATTTATTTATTCTAAAGAATCTCTAAGATACCAGAAGCATGGATTTAAAAATGCATTAAAATGATTGTTTTTCAATCAAACTTTATTTATACAGCACTTTTCCTACGGATTATAATAACCCTACATAACCCCCATTCCCATCTATCCCACACCACTTCAGAAGCATTGGCACAGTCGTACCCCCCCCCCCCCCCCCCCCCGGTTCCATTTCCCCCCCCCCCCCCCCCCCCACACACACACACACACACACACACACACACTCTCTCACACACAGGAACATCAATAAAAATGATTATTGGGCTGAGTTCAGGTGAGCCAGATACGGTAGGGCAAGGACACGCCATCAGAGGAGTCATCTGCCCCGGCAGCAGGTGAGGTACCAACTCAGGGCACAGAGGGGGAGAGAGGGTGTAGACCCCACCGCCACGCGAGCGCTACCCGGAGAGCCCCCAGGCAGCAACAGTCGACCGCCGCCCTGAGGCAGAGGGCCCCCACGGAGGAAACACTGGAAGAAAGATTAATATAAGATCGAAAGGAGCCAGTTGAGGTGGTTTGGGCATCTGGTCAGGATGCCTCCTGGACGCCTCCCCGGGGAGGTGTTTCGGGCATGTCCTGCCGGCAGAAGGCCCCCGGGTCGACCCAGGACACGTTGGAGAGGTTACATCTCCAATCTGGTCCGGGAACGCCTTGGGGTCCTGCCGGAGGAGCTGGTGGACAAGGCCGGGGAGAGGACGGCCTGGAGCTCCCTAATTGGGATGCTGCCCCCGCGACCCGGACCCGGATAAGCGGAGGAAGACGAAGACGAAGACGAAGAAATATAAAAATAAGAGGAGCTAATATAATAGTAAAAGTAAGTAGATTAATAATTAATTAAACTACCATAAATATTAAAATATATTAGTGGGAAAATGTAATCAATTAAAATATGCTAAGTAATCGAACTATAATAAATAATAATCAGCTAAAAGGTGGGTCTTGAGCCTGCTCTTGAAAACAGAAACGTTCTCTCCGGCCCCGAGGTCCCCCAGCTGCCTGTTACAGAGGCAAGGGCCATACTACTGGAGAGACGCCTCGCCGTGAGTATGTGTAAACCCTGCTATAAACCCAAAACATCCTGATCACCATAAAACAAACATACTGGGTCATATCTATGGATATATCCCTGTCTATGATGTCTGTGACGAAGAAGGCCTTCAGCTAACACCACATGACATCATAACTGCTCATTAGAGCCACGTCGCTGCAACTAAAACCTCTTTACTGAGCTGCTGATGACTTTCGGCCATAAAGAGGATGAACATTTAATTGTAATTGTTAATGATCTGACTTAACACACAAACAGAAAGCATTTGTCCAAATGTCGCTCAGGACAGAGAAGCTGGACCACTGGGAGATCCGGAAGAGTCTGCAGAAATAAAGAGCATACAGGAGAGGCTAGGAAAGAGCTTTAAAATGCCTCCGTTCCATTTTCATCTAATTCTGTTTAAATGAGAACAAAGTGCTTCAGCCTTTGGATTGCTCCACGACTTCTAAGGAACACTAGGATTTTCCCAAGTCTTCATGCATCCCGTTTCTCTGGGTTTTTTTTTCTCAGCTGAGTTCGTCTTCAGCTCTGATTGCAGCTCTTGTGTCTTTTCTCAGCAGGTCGACCCCATGCTGACACCAGAGGAGAAACAGCTCAACAAAATGCAAAACCACGGCTATGAAAACCCCACCTACAAATTCTTTGAGCAGATGAACTGAAGCAAAGGGTGCCACCCCCGTTCCCTCCCTCCCTCCCTCACTCTCCTCAACGGTGTGCTCCCAGCTGCACCCCCTTCCATGTATTTAATGATGTGTTTCAAACCCTAAATAACTGATAAAAGTCTGGGGAACCGCCTTCGCCCCATCATCACCTTTCATCATAATGTGAATAATGAGCTGTAATAGGATCCCATGCTACCTAATGTAATCTGGTCGTTTTCAGGTTTAGCGGTGCCACAACCCTTCTGGAATCATCCTTCCTGTGGCACGACTCCTGCGCCTCACTAGAACCTGATTTTAAATGGTTCATGATGCTTTCTACTATAGGATTTACTTTTCAGTAGTGATTTCCTTGTTCAGCTTGCACCATGGTGACATAAATCTGTGTAGATGGGTGTGAATGGCAGCTTGTTGCTAATTTAGGCAAAGTTTGAATGTATGAGACAAATTATGCTTTGGATGATGAAAGAAAGAGAAACAAAAATCACAAGAATCGATACTGAACGCGCCGTTGGTACAAAAAAACGTTTCCATTCAAAGGATCTGCCCGAAATATTAATAAATTATTATTAAATTGGCTAATTTGTTTTGTTTGCTAGAGAATAAGGAGGTTATTTTAGTGAAAGCATGACCCCGTAGCTTCCAATGCTGCCGTATTTTTTATTTGTGTTGCTCCCGACGTCGTTTCTGAAGAGTCCCTAATGTCACCGTTTAAATGGATACTGTAAATAAGAAAATACATGCGACTAGATGTAGACATTTCTATGATTAATTTGCATTAATGTAATGGATTAATATATTTAAAATAATGATAATGATGATAATAATATTAATAATAGTTGTGCTGTTATGAGAAGGAGAAACCTTTTTCCTAACATGGCTGATTGAAAACGGACTGTTGTAAAAACCAGCACAAGACAACGACACAGCAATTACTTTCTGAATGTATTTGAGGTAGACGTTTAGATTCCATCCTCTTCCTCTTTTATTTACCTTTGCTTGGTGATGCATCACGCTCCCTTTGGTGACCCGTTACTAGGAGTAGTGAAGCCCGATGCGTCTGCACGCCCTCGTCAGCATTTCAGATGAATACTCGACCAGGGGAGTAGTTCGACGCGTTAGCCTGCAGAAAGCAGTGGAGTGTGGAGAGGGTTCAGCTTTTTTAGTGTGTGTGTGTGTGTGTGTGAGTGTGTGTGTGTGTGTGTGTGTGTGTGTGTGTGTGTGTGTGTGTGTGTGTGTGTGTGTGTGTGTGTGTGTGTGTGTCATGACACACCGCGCTCAGCCATCGTGGTAGTTTTTAACTTGAACCCATCACTGCTGGATGATAATACTTTCTCTGCATCTTTCTCGCATCAAGGAAAGGCTTTTCTCTGAATGACTCATCAGTTTTTCGTACGTATGAAACACACAGCGCTCTGCATAGGTAAACTGCTCTGTGTGTCCCTTTGATTTCCTTTAGTCACTCCACCACCGTCGGTCACTCTTGGGTCATCGGCCAAACACTAGAGACTCCGTTTTAGGTCATCCGGACAAAAACATATCAGCCTTTATTTGTACATTTCTGCCTCAGTTCTGGTCATTTTATGCTGAGCTTCTTCTTTTCTTAATTCCTCAACGGAGTTGGGTAAATTATTACCTAAAACCTGCTCAGTTTTATTGTTGGCTTAGAAAAACATTCAGATGAATAAAATGTCTGCGTTAAAATTTACCATTTGTCTCGTCGGGTGGGTCGATAGCAGGTTGTGGTCGTGTTATGGCAAACTAGGACAAGTCATAGCACTTGTAAATTTGTACAGCTACGTTAGTGAATGAAAACCTTGTATGTTCACAGTTCAAGTCAGTCGATCTTGTAATGATACTTCTGAAACAATAGATGAGAATAAGCTTGCCTGTGTTTCCTAAACCACTGACGGTTTCCTACCAGCAGCATTTAGCAGTCTTAACACGGTGTATACTCTAGTTACTCAGATTACATTTGTACTTAAAACCCTCCATCAGATTCTAGACCCTTTGTTCGGTCTGTCCCCCTCCCTCCCTCCTACTTCCTGATGAAATGTAAACTGTTATTGAGGTTTTAATTGCTGCATTATTGCCTTTTACAATGCTGTGTTTTTGGATGTAATTATTCAGTATTTTTTATTTGACATGTACGTAATAACCCGTTGGAACAAGGGTCACGTGTTTCACATGTAATGAAAAGCATGTACGCAGAAAATAAAAGATCCAAACGGTGAACTACTGACTGATCCGAGGCCTCTGCCTAAACGACGAGCAGCGGCATGAAGCACAAGTAAATTGTCCCATTTATGTAAAAGCTGAGAAACAGAAGTTCTATTTAATTCCAGGGATTTTCTTCATTCTCATTAAAATCCTTAACCAAAGACATCCTCCACTGATATTAGTGAGAGATTCCCAATATCTGGCAAAATGTTTTCAGTGTAAATGTATCGTTAGCAATCTGGCTAATTAAAACTGGTTACGTTAATTAACAGTGTAATAAAAGTGAATGACCCCTTAGATATAATGTGTGTGTGTGTGTGTGTGTGTTTTTCTCTGTGAGCTACGACATCTTTCTCACACATCAACATGAAGGTGACTGAAAAACTGATCATGTAGTAACTTTTCTCTTCCACCATCAAAGGGGGAACCCCCAGTCTTATACTTGAAAATCTGCTGGTCTCCCAGCTCAGGTCCTGGGCTGAATTTCATTGGAAAAAGAAACTTAAGGTAATCTGCTGAGCTGCACCTTCCAGCTCAAACTTCTACTGCTTACGGAGGTCTGTCGGTTATATTTAGCTCTCGTTGCTGCATGTCATCCACTGACATAAATATTACATATGGTAGTAAACTTTCTAGAAGATAAACATCGTAACCAAGATGAAGATAAGAGGCTCTCTGTTTTCAACATGGAGTTTCGGTGACTCCTAAAGACACAGTGTCATTTCTGCAAAGACAAAATAGCAGCTCACTTCCTTTGTCAGGAAAAGCTACGTTCGATGATATCGCTTTAAAAAGTCCACCCACACTAAAATGGAGAGAAAACATTCAAATAGGACATAGGAGTCCACATGCTCAACACAAACGTTCGAATCATGAGGCGTTGCAGAGTAGGAGGTGTTGTTCCAACCATCTTGTGTCGATTTTCAACTAAACAACGTGACAAAATGGGAGTAAGATGAGAAAACTGCAAAAGATCAACACTTAATGTGTTCCCTTTTAATAAAGGTGTGGTTCACTGAAAAACCATTTTTGTAATTATTACATCTGATTATAATCAGTCACTCTGACTTTTTCATGCAGGTTGAACATGAAAATAGTCTCCTACACCTATCTCCTGCTTTAACTTCTGATAGAAAACCGATGATGAAACTCTAGGATTTGAAAATCCTCACATATCTACATCACACTGTGAATTAGCATTCATGGATTCACCATCTTGACTCACGGCGGGGAAGGCTGTTGTTGTTTCAACGTTCAGGAATCAGCAGAGTATGTCTCGGCTAGTTTAAGCTAATCGTGTCATGATCCTGTTCCTGCCTAAGACCTGTTGCCACAGCAGCCACAGCCCGCACCTCATCAAGCTCCAGCCAAGCTGTTTCCCCAGCAACCACAATCAACTCACCATCCACATCATCCTACCACCTGTCTCTTATTAGCTCCTCATCAGCTCATCACACACACCTGCTCCTCCTGCTATATAACTCCCAGCCTGCTCTCCAACCGGTGCCAGATTATTGAACACGTTTCTGTTAGTAAATTCTCCAGCCTTTCACCCACCTTGACTCCACGGATCCGAACCTTGCCTCGTCCTCTGACCTGCCTGCTCCTCGTGCCCTCTTGTGATTACCGCTTTGCTCCCGACCACGTCTTTGGATTTCCCCTATTGGAGTTACTGCCCCTCTGACCTCCTGGCCCAGACCCTGCTCAGTCCTCGACCACGTCTCCGGATTCCCCTGTCGGATATTCAACCTCTCGGATCTTCTGGTAACGACCGCCTGTCTTCTGACCTAGCCTCTGCCTCTCCAGTCATCGCCCCTTTTCCCTCTTTAATAAACATTCTAAAATGTGTCATTCTGTGTTGGGTGTTTTTACGGGTCCGCCAGCTTGAGTTCATTACAAACCGTTAGCATTAGCAACACCGCCTCACAGTGGACGCTCCTCCAGGTTTGTGTTATTAGTGGAGATAAAACATGCTGCAAGTCAGTGGTGTAGAGTGACATTGCGCTCCATCTTTCTCTAACTTGTGAACAAGACTCCTCCACTTGGGGCAGGGCCTCATCTTGGACCCGGAGAAGGCATTCTACCCTTTTCTGGATCAAGACCATGGTCTTGGATTGAGAGGAGCTGATTTTCATCCCAGCTGCTTCACACTTGGCTGCGAACTGACTCTGTGAGAGCCGGAGATAACGTTGTGCATCTGCAAAAAGCAGAGACTCAACCCCCAGGCCACCAAAACGGATTCCCTCACCACCTTGGCTGCACCAACAAATTCTGTCCATAAAATGATGAACAGAATCAGCAACAAAGGGCAGCCTTGGCCGAGTCCGACTCTCACCGGAAAGGGAGAATGATAAATGATACGCACTTGTATAGCGCCTCTGTAGCGTTATGCATATGCCATTTCTGCCCTTAACAGCTGCCCTTTGACACAGTGACAGTGTGCATGAATTGCCAAGGTCGTGCGCTTGCTTCTGATGTTTACATTCCAGCAAAGAAGACAGAAGAAGGACGAAGAACGCTTTTCATTAGTTAATCAAAGAACTTTATTTCTAATAAAGCTAATCAAAACAACTGTTGGTCAATAATAATCAGGTGACTGATCTGTGAAATCACAATGTTATGATTTATGTGTTTAATGAATAACAGGAGACTTGGGCTAACTGAGCTAGACATCCTGATCCACATAAGGTAAACACATGACACATTGTTCACTCATCCAATCAGAACTTCCTTTCTGATGCGTGGCAGAGTCCTCTGGTGTTTAGTTAATCTGTCCACTCCGTTTCGCTAAGAATCATAAACAACTAAGTTTAATAAAACAGAACAACGCCATTTTAATTCAGTTCAACACAGTTCCAACGTGAGTTCAACCAGCTCTCAAATCCTTCTGATGTCCATCATCGCTAAGTGAAGTACAGACTGGCCAGCTGTATTTTCTACTTTTAAGCTGAGAACTGTCAAGCTGGAAAACTCTGTCGTTTTATCAACAAGACGATGGTTCCTTCAGAATAAAAGCTGAACTCTCTGACCCAAAAAGGGGGGTCTCTACGTGACGCTGAAAACCTGCCGTTGTACCTGGAGACGATCCATAGACTGGTTTGTCGTGCTGCTGACGCTGTTTCACCAGTTCCAGCACCAAGGAGGGTCCGAGGACCTGGCATCCGGATCTAACACGAAAGTCTCTGCACGGTACGTAAATCGGCATAGATAGCGTCTCATGTCTTCCTCCTGAAGTCCATCGTCGGTCAGTTAGGGTAAACAACATCTCGCACTCAGACTTGCCTCCACCAGATGGAGGTTCTGAACTGACACACACACCAACACTTCAGCATTACATTCATCTGCATCCATCATTAGAGAGTTAGTCCTGGTGATTGTTTCAAATAATTATAAAATAAATATTCTTAAACGCCCCATCTCTCTCTCTCTCTCTCTCTCTCTCTCTCTCTCTCTCTCTCTCTCTCTCTCTCTTCTTGTCTCTAATTGAATACAAGGTGTTTGAATAAAATTGCCTGTAGTAGAAACAACCTCTTTTGATTCTAAGGGCCCGGTCCAAAGATTAATGATCCAGCTCAGGTTTGGATCAGTGATATCTCTGGACCTTAATAAAAGTGTAAGAATATACCAATTATATTCCGCTACAGCCTCTCAGAGTAAGGACTCCAAAGCGCTTTACACTACAGTGTATCATTCATCCATTCACACACACATTCACACACTGATGGTGATGAGCTACGACGTAGCCACAGCTGCTCTGGGGCGCGATGACAGAGGCAATTTAGCCTTGTGTTTGCTCATGATCTTCCGATTTCCTCCTCGGTTCTGTCTGTCGGAGCATTTAACCACTGGTTGGTCAGCTGCTGCTATCAGCCATTACTGAAATGTGCACGGTGACAGAAAACAAAAAAAGTGTTGAATGCTAAAAGATTATTAGTAGAAATGGCGCCGGTACCAGTCAAAAGCACTGCTCTCTGTCCCTGTAAAAGGATATGAGTCTGATAATCCAGCAGCAACTGATCATCGTGATCAGTTCCAGGCAGCAGCTGCTTCTCCCTCCCCTACCCACTCCGCGAACCCGGCATCACTCACCGCACGCTGCGCAATATTTGCACTGGTCCTAAGTCTCCCAGTTGAACTGGTTCTCCCAAAATGATCACAACATACAGGCCAGAATTAACTTGCATCTGTCGCTAGAGCTTTTTTTTTCAATCTCTCTTTTTCTGCTCCACCTTTCCTGGCTGACTCGGTCCATTTTGCCTCATGGGGCCAAAGGTGCGGTGTGGTAGTGCACTCAAGAGGGTGGGATCTCTGCAGCGCTTTCTCAGACCCTGCTAAGTGAGAGGAAGTGGTGTCTTTGTGCCCAATTTGCTCAGTTTGTATGAGCATAAGGCATGATGACGGACTGTTCATTTAGATATTATGCAGGTGATGACCGTCGGTAATCACTGAGCAGGCCAGATTAACGGACAAGCCACCGGGAAATCTCCCGTTTCTCCCGATTACCAATCCGCCACTGGTACCCACACAATGCCACAAAGCAGTCTGATGCTACAACATCTATGTAAGACTCGCTTTTCACTAAAGCACTCACTTCACCTGCAGAAACGTTTTACATGTCATTGGTCCCGGGCTCGGCCGGATAGGGGGTGGGAGGCTGCGGGCGGGCCTGTGGGCTTGCCGCCGATATCTCCCGGGACTCTGCCGGCTGCTGGTTGTGGCCCCCCGGGGCGATCCTCTGCGCCTCTCAAGGGGAGCGGGGGCTTTTCTGGTCGCAGTCTCCCTGGAGTCCCTGTGCTCTGAGGCAACTCCTGGATCTCTGGGACTTGGAGCTCCCTCCATCTGCTGCACATCTTTAGGGGGCGGATCTGTGGCCCCTCACACTCTCTATTGGACGCTCCTATAGAGAAACCTTACATAAACAAGTACATGTACACACACAGGTGCTCACATGGTGCTGTCATAAGTATAGACTTGGGCACGTTAAACACATGTCTTAAGGCTGTGGTTGGCACCAAATGCACTGTGATTTATTATCATGTGATTCTTCAGTTAAACAATGTTGATTTTATAATTCATTATCAAGTTGATGCAGTGATAGCTTGATCTTGTTGTATTGTTGTTGTGTCCCATTTTTATTTATTTATTTTTGCTTTTTTTTCTTGTCTCTTTCTGCAGGTCTAGAAGCAGATTCTTGTTAATTAACCCTAACCCTAACCCTAACTCTGTTTCTCTATTCTGTTCTTCTTCTCACTTTTTTCTTTATTCTGTTTTTTCATGTTTTTCTACTCTACTCTTCTACTGTTC